ACAAAGATGATCAGGGGACTGGAGGCTAAAACATCCAAGGAACAGTTGCTGGAATTGGGTATGTCTAGTTTAACGAAGAGAAGAACAAGGGGGGACATGATAGCACTGTTCCAATATCTCAGGGGCTGCCCCAAAGAAGAGGGACTCAAGCTATTCTCCACAGCACCAGAAGGCAGGACGAGAAGCAACGGATGGAAACCAACCAAGGAGAGAAGCAACCTGGAACTAAGGAGAAACTTCCTGACAGTGAGAACAATTAACCAGTGGAACAACCTGCCTCCAGAAGCAGTGAATGCTCCAACACTGGAAGTTTTTAAGAAGAGACAGGACAACCATTTGTCTGAAATGATATAGGGTTTCCTGCCTGAGCAGGGGGTTGGACTCGATGACCTCCAAGGTCCCTTCCAACTTTATATTATTATTATTATTATTATCGATCATCGCACAGTCAGCCAGATGTTCAGACTGGATTTGGCATTTTGTCTACCTATCGAGTCCTTACCCAGGACCTGGGATAGGCAGATGTGGATGTTTGATGGTATTACAGGTATCGTCGCAGGATGGAAGCAGTTCCTAATAAGGCCGCCTTTTGCAATTGACTAATAGCAAATTTGTCAATGCCAATGGTGTTCAAGTGGTGCTCCAGTTGTTTTGGGATTGCACCCAAGGAGCCTATGACTATTGGTACTACCCTTGCTTGCTTTTGCCACAGTCTTTCTATTTCTATTTGTAGGTCTTTGTATTTTGTTATCTTCTCCAGTTCTTTCTCTTCTATTCTGCTGTCTCCAGGCACTGCCACGTCCACTATCCAGACTTTTTTGTCTTTCTTATCGACAATTGTTAAGTCTGGGGTGTTATGTTGCAGGTGCTTGTCTGTTTGAATTCTGAAGTCCCAGAGCAGTTTAATTTTATCATTTTCTATGACTTTCTCTATTTTATGATCCCACCAGTTTTTGCTTACAGGCAAATGATATTTTTTGCAGATCTTCCAATGCACCATTGTTGCTACTTTGTCATGCCGCTGCTTGTAGTCAGTCTGTGCAATCTTCTTGCAACAGCTTACCAAGTGGTCCACTGTTTCTTCAGCTTCTTTGCATAGGCGGCACTTACTGTCTGTTGCTGTCTTCTCAATTTTGACTTTGTATGCATTTGTCCTTAAGGCTTGGTCTTGTGCAGCCAGAATTAGTCCCTCGGTCTCTTTCTTCAATTTTCCTGCTCTTAGCCATTGCCAGGTTTTGTTATTATCTGCTTTCCCAGCTATTTTTTTAATGTATTGGCCATGTAGTGCTTTGTCTTCCCATGCCTCTATTCTGTTCTTCATTTGGTCTTTCTTGTAGGCCAGTTTGGTCTCTCCAGTAGTCAGTAAGCCTTCCTGATATACTAATTTCAGTGCATCTTCATCATTGTTCTTCAGATATTCTTCCAAAGCCATTTTTTCTTCTTCAACCATCTGATGTACTTGTAGCATTCCACGCCCACCTATTTGCCTTGGTAGATAAAGTCTATCAATGTCACTGCGTGGATGAAGGGCATGATTCATTGTCATTATTTTTCTGGTCTGCCTATCCATTGCTTTTAGTTCTGCTTGAGTCCAGTCCACTATTCCAGCTGTGTACCTAATGACTGGGATTGCCCAGGTGTTGATTGCCTTTATGGTATTTCCTCCATTGAGTTTGGATTTTAAGATCTTCTTCACTCTCTTGATGTATTCACCTCTAATCTTTTTCTTGACTTCAGTGTGCTTGATGTTGTCAGCTTGAAGGATACCCAAGTATTTGTAGTATCTTCCTCATCCAGACTCTTAATGTTATTTTCGTGGGGCATCTTGATTCCTTCAGTTTTCACTATTTTTCCTTGTTTGATAGTAAGTGTGGCACATTTGTCCAAGCCAAACTCCATTACAATATCTTGGCTATATATACGGACAGTGTTGAGCAGCGATTCTATTTCAGATGATGTTTTTCCATACAGCTTCAGATCATCCATATAAAGGAGGTGGGATAGTCTGGCAGATGTTTTTGATGTTTGATAGCCATGTCCTGAGTTATTCAGTATTGTTGACAGAGGAAACAGTGCAATAACAAATAGTAATGGTGATAATGAATCTCCTTGAAATATTCCTCTCTTGATATTAACCTCTCCCAGCCTCTCACCATTGATCTGCAACTGTGTCTTCCATTGTGCCATCGATCTTTGCACAAATTTTCTGATGTTTCTACTGACTCCTGTTATTTCTAGGCACTTTATTATCCAATCATGTGGCAGAGAGTCAAATGCCTTTTTGTAGTCAATCCATGCCACATTCAGGTTGGTCTTCCTTCTCTTGCAGTTTTCCAAGATCATTTTGTCTATTAGGAGTTGATCTTTTGTTCCTCTGCTATTGGGGCGGTTTCCTTTCTGCTCAGGTGGAAAGAGATTGTTTTCAACTAGATGCTGTTGTACTGCATCAGCTACCACACCAGTTAGTAATTTGAAAGTTGTTGGTAAGCAGGTAATTGGCCTGTAGTTACCTGGTGTTGCCCCTTTTGCTGGATTTTTCATTATTAGGTAGGTTTTCCCAGTTGTTAGCCACTTTTCAATTTCTCCTCCTTGTAGTATATTGTTGAACTGCTTGGCAATGAGTGGGTGTATAACAGTTAGATGTTTCAACCAAAACCCATGCAGTTCATCTTCACCTGGTGCTGACCAATTTTTGATTTTCTTTGCTCTTTTTTCTACCATTTTTGTTGTTATTACTAGTTCTTTCATTTCAACTTCTGTTTTATTTGCATCCACCTCTTTTAACCAAGCCGCATCCTTGTTGTATTTCTTTGGGTTATCCCATATCTGCTTCCAGAACTGCACTGTTTCTTCCTTGTCAGGTACTGACTGATTCCTTGCAGTTTCTCCATTGATGGATTGGTAGAAACGTTTCTGATTGGATTGAAATTGGAGGTTCTGCCTATAGTTTGCAATTCGAGCTTCATATCTACTGATTTTCCTGGCTATAGCTGTTATTTGTTGCTTTATTATTTCCAGTGCTTCCTTGATCTTCCTTGTTTCTAAGTGGTATTTCTTGATTAGGTATTCTTTGGTCTTCTTGTTCTTCAGCTTCTTTTCTTTCATCTGTTCTAGCTTGCTTGCATGTGATCTTAACTTGCTGATCTTATTTTCTAGTCTAACCTTCCATTTTTGTGGTGCACTGTTTGTTTGTTTTTCTTTTTGTTGATTTTACATCCCAGGTATTCTGTTATAACTGCAGCTGTGCTGTACATTAATTGGTTTGTTTCTTGCAGTGAATTGGTGCTTATACTTGCTATTGCAGTATTTGCATCTTTTAATGCTTGTGCTAGCTGTTTCTTTGGAACAAGCTTCAATGCAGGCAGCCTTATTCTGTTGTTTTTGTGCTGATATTATTATTATTATTATTATTATTATTATTATTATTATTACTACTGCTATGTAAGAGATGAGATGAGCTCCAAGTCTCCTAGGAAGGCAGCTATGCGAGAAAGCATAAAGAGCTTGAGATTTATGAAAATTAATAATATCGCTGGTGTGTGAGCTGCACTGGTTGCTAGTCTGCTTCCAGGTCCAGTCCAAGGAGTTGGTGGCGACTATTAAAGCCATGGGGAACTTGAGGAACCATCTCACCTCAATGGGATTAGCCCGCCCTACTTGTTCTGGTGGAAGGGGCATGCTGTGAACCCCATTGGTCAAGGAATTCTGGCTGAGGAGGGGGTCCTTTTCTGTGGTGGCTCCCGCTGACTACAACACCATGTCTCTCGTGATGAGATCTGCCCCCACCCTCTTGGCCTTCAGGAAGGGTCTTAAAACCTGCTGGTTAGCCTGGAGCCCCAGATGTGGGCATGCGAAACCTGGAGATGGTTCCTGGATTAAACTGAAGATCCCACCACCACCCCATAGTATTCTGGTTTTTTTTTATTTATTTAATCTCTGCTAATTTAAAATATTTTAATGATTTGTACTTGTGTTTTATATTATGTCTATAACCATCAAAGTCACTTGACAAATTTAACAACTAAACAAATATACCAGGGGTAGGCAACCTTGGCTCTTTTATGACTTGTGGACTTCAACTCCCAGAATTCCTGAGCCAGCCATGCTGAAGGGAAAGGGAGAGGTTTCCAAGCTGAGCCATGCTGGCTCAGGAATTCTGGGAGTTGAAGTCCACGAGTCATAAAAGAGCCAAGGTTGCCTACCGCTGAACTATACCATTCCTGTTCGCTAAATGTCTGTTAAATTATGTATTGTGGCTCCTTTTTCTAAAATGCAATGAAAACGGAGTTTCAAGCCATACAGGTAGTCCTCAGCTTAACGATCACAACTGAGCCCAAAATTTCTGTTGTTAAGCAAGGCAATTGTTAAGTGAGTTTTGCCCAAATTTCTGTTGCTAAGCACGGCAATTCTTAAGTGAGTTTTGCCTGATTTTGGGATCTTTTTGGCCATAGTTGTTAAGTGAATCACTGCATAAAGTAAATCATATGTCGATAAGCAAATCTTGCTTTCCCCCCCCCCATTGACTCTGTTTGTTGCAAGGTATCTGAAAAGGTTATAAATGGTGATCACATGACCTTGGGACAGTGCAACCATCATAAATACATACAAGTTGCCAAGAGCCCGAGTTTTGTTCACGTGACTGTGGGGAGGCCGCAACAGTGGTAAGTGTGAAAAATGATCACAAGTCACTTTTTCCAGTGCTGTTGCAACTTCAAACGGCCACTTACTGAATGGTTGTAAGTCAAGAACTATTATATTTGTCTCTGTGGAAGCCTATCAGATTTTCCTCACTCTGGTGTCCTTTGCAATTTCTGCATTATTAGCTTCCAGGATCCTTGAAAGGTGCCGGGTTCAGAAGACCATGCTAGTGTTAAATGCATCAGTTGGGAGAAGAGGGTTTCCTATTTCTCCCCGCAAGCAAGTTGCTAGTGTTTTTTTCCCTTTAGTTCTTCTGCCAATGGTCATTATTCTTGATTATTATTCCTTTTTTCACTCTGCAGGTACGGAATGAACTGTCTCATTCAGTTTGAGGACTTTGCAAACGCCAACGCCTTCCGGCTTCTCAAGAAATATCGCAGCCGTTATTGCACTTTCAATGATGACATACAAGGTAAGACGTCCAAGTGGTTTCATTGATAAAATGAAACCTTGCATGGAGTTTTCTGTAGTAGTAATAGTAGTAGTAGTAGTAGTGGTAATAATAATAATAATAATAATAATAATAATAATAATAATAATAACTCGGACGTTGCCCGGGTTAACAAGGTCCGCACTAGATATTGGAGTTCCTGGATATCTGGTGAAAAATGGGTTACAGGACTCAGGACTGTTGGCTGAGCAACCAGGGCCAGCAGCTGCAGAACTACTGGAAGAAAAGGTGTTTACCCGTCGCAGATACACAGTGATGGAAAACAAAGAAATAATGATCTGTTACTACAGATCAAGTCCAACAAGACGAGGATATCTAAAACGAAATGCACCATTCTGGAAAGAACAACATCAGAACAGAAATAACAGAACAGAGACTAGCAGATCAACGCCGATTTATAACACGAACAAAATATTCACAGAAACATGAACGAGCAAAGGTTTTACCCGGGCAAAGAATCAGCCTTACCAGAAGTAATTCAGAAGTAGAGGCAAACCAGGGGAGTGGCAGTGAAGGAATCTAGCAAGATATACAACTGTTCTCATTTGAACAGGCACCTCTACCTCAGGAAGACAACCCCTCTAACTAAAGAAATAAAAGAATTGAACAAAGAATACACGAGCATCTAGAACAGCACACAAACGTAAGGCTCCTCATTGAAGCCTTGTTCCAAAGAAAAAGCTGGCACATTAAAGATGCAAATATTGCAATATCAAGTATAAGCACCAATTCATTGCAAGAAACAAACCAACTAATGTACAGCACCGCTGCAGTTATAACAGAATACATGGGATGCAAAATCAACAAAAAAGAAAAACAAACAAACAGTGCACCAGAAAAATGGAAGGTTAGACTAGAAAATAAGATCAGCAAGTTAAGATCACATGCAAGCAAGCTAGAACAGATGAAAGAAAAGAAGCTGAAGAACAAGAAGACCAAAGAATACCTAATCAAGAAATACCACTTAGAAACAAGGAAGATCAAGGAAGCACTGGAAATAATAAAGCAACAAATAACAGCTATAGCCAGGAAAATCAGTAGATATGAAGCTCGAATTGCAAACTATAGGCAGAACCTCCAATTTCAATCCAATCAGAAACGTTTCTACCAATCCATCAATGGAGAAACTGCAAGGAATCAGTCAGTACCTGACAAGGAAGAAACAGTGCAGTTCTGGAAGCAGATATGGGATAACCCAAAGAAATACAACAAGGATGCGCTTGGTTAAAAGAGGTGGATGCAAATAAAACAGAAGTTGAAATGAAAGAACTAGTAATAACAACAAAAATGGTAGAAAAAAGAGCAAAGAAAATCAAAAATTGGTCAGCACCAGGTGAAGATGAACTGCATGGGTTTTGGTTGAAACATCTAACTGTTATACACCCACTCATTGCCAAGCAATTCAACAATATACTACAAGGAGGAGAAATTGAAAAGTGGCTAACAACTGGGAAAACCTACCTAATAATGAAAAATCCAGCAAAAGGGGCAACACCAGGCAACTACAGGCCAATTACCTGCTTACCAACAACTTTCAAATTACTAACTGGTGTGGTAGCTGATGCAGTACAACAGCATCTAGTTGAAAACAATCTCTTTCCACCTGAGCAGAAAGGAAACCGCCCCAATAGCAGAGGAACAAAAGATCAACTCCTAATAGACAAAATGATCTTGGAAAACTGCAAGAGAAGGAAGACCAACCTGAATGTGGCATGGATTGACTACAAAAAGGCATTTGACTCTCTGCCACATGATTGGATAATAAAGTGCCTAGAAATAACAGGAGTCAGTAGAAACATCAGAAAATTTGTGCAAAGATCGATGGCACAATGGAAGACACAGTTGCAGATCAATGGTGAGAGGCTGGGAGAGGTTAATATCAAGAGAGGAATATTTCAAGGAGATTCATTATCACCATTACTATTTGTTATTGCACTGTTTCCTCTGTCAACAATACTGAATAACTCAGGACATGGCTATAAACATCAAAAACATCTGCCAGACTATCCCACCTCCTTTACATGGATGATCTGAAGCTGTATGGAAAAACATCATCTGAAATAGAATCGCTGCTCAACACTGTCCGTATATATAGCCAAGATATTGTAATGGAGTTTGGCTTGGACAAATGTGCCACACTTACTATCAAACAAGGAAAAATATGAAAACTGAAGGAATCAAGATGCCCCACGAAAATAACATTAAGAGTCTGGATGAGGAAGAGTACTACAATCTTGGGTATCCCTTCAAACTGCAACATCAAGCACACTGAAGTCAAGAAAAATATTAGAGGTGAATACATCAAGAGAGTGAAGAAGATCTTAAATCCAAACTCAATGGAGGAAATACCATAAAGGCAATCAACACCTGGGCAATCCCAGTCATTAGGTACACAGCTGGAATAGTGGACTGGACTCAAGCAGAACTAAAAGCAATGGATAGGCAGACCAGAAAAATAATGACAATGAATCATGCCCTTCATCCACGCAGTGACATTGATAGACTTTATCTACCAAGGCAAATAGGTGGGCGTGGAATGCTACAAGTACATCAGATGGTTGAAGAAGAAAAAATGCTTTGGAAGAATATCTGAAGAACAATGATGAAGATGCACTGAAATTAGTATATCAGGAAGGCTTACTAACTACTGGAGAGACCAAACTGGCCTTCAAGAAAGACCAAATGAAGAACAGAATAGAGGCATGGGAAGACAAAGCACTACATGGCCAATACATGAAAAAAATAGCTGGGAAAGCAGATAACAATACAACCTGGCAATGGCTAAGAGCAGGAAAATTGAAGAAAGAGACCGAGGGACTAATTCTGGCTGCACAAGACCAAGCCTTAAGGACAAATGCATACAAAGTCAAAATTGAGAAGACAGCAACAGACAGTAAGTGCCGCCTATGCAAAGAAGCTGAAGAAACAGTGGACCACTTGGTAAGCTGTTGCAAGAAGATTGCACAGACTGATTACAAGCAGCGGCATGACAAAGTAGCAACAATGGTGCATTGGAAGATCTGCAAAAAATATCATTTGCCTGTAAGCAAAAACTGGTGGGATCATAAAATAGAGAAAGTCATAGAAAATGATAAAATTAAACTGCTCTGGGACTTCAGAATTCAAACAGACAAGCACCTGCAACATAACACCCCAGACTTAACAATTGTCGATAAGAAAGACAAAAAAGTCTGGATAGTGGATGTGGCAGTGCCTGGAGACAGCAGAATAGACGAGAAAGAACTGGAGAAGATAACAAAATACAAAGACCTACAAATAGAAATAGAAAGACTGTGGCAAAAGCAAGCAAGGGTAGTACCAATAGTCATAGGCTCCTTGGGTGCAATCCCAAAACAACTGGAGCACCACTTGAACACCATTGGAATTGACAAATTCGCTATTAGTCAATTGCAAAAGGCAGGCCTTATTAGGAACTGCTTCCATCCTGCGACGATATCTGTAATACCATCAAACATCCACATCTGCCTATCCCAGGTCCTGGGTAAGGACTCGATAGGTAGACAAAATGCCAAATCCAGTCTGAACATCTGGCTGACTGTGCGATGATCGATAATAATAATAATAATAATAATGAAGAGGAGGAGGAGGAGAAGGAGGAGGAAGAGAAGAAGAAGAGGAGGAGGAGGAGAAGAAGAAGAAGAAGAAGAAGAAGAAGAAGAAGAAGAAGAAGAAGAAGAAGAAGAAGAAGAAGGAAGAAGAAGAAGAAGAAGAAGAAGAAGAAGAAGAAAAAGAAGAAGAAGAAGAAGAAGAAGAAGAAGAAGAAGAAGAAGAAGAAGAAGAAGAAGAAGAAGAAGAAGAAGAAGTAGTAGTAGTAGTAGTAATAGTAGTTGGAAGGGACCTTGGAGGTCATCTAGTCCAGGCAGGAAACCCTATACCAATGGCTGTCCAGTCTCTTCTTAAAAACTTCCAGTGTTGGAGCATTCACTGCTTCTGGAGGCAGGTTGTTCCACTGGTTAATTGTTCTATCAGGAAATTTCTCCTTAGTTCTAAGTTGCTTCTCTCCTTGATTAATTTCCATCCATGGCTTCTTGTCCTGCCCTCAGGTGCTTTGGGGAATAGCTTGACTCCCTCTTCTTTGTAGCAACCCCTGAGATATTGGAACACTGCTATCATGTCCCCCCTCGTCCTTCTCTTCATTAAATTAGACATACCCAATTCCAGCAACCGTTCCTTATATGTTTTAGCCTCCAGTCCCCTGATCATCTTTGTTGCTCTTCTCTGTACTCTTTCTAGAGTCTCAGCATCTTTTTTACATTGTGGTGACCAAAACTGGATGCAATATTCCAAGTGTGGCTTACCAAGGCCTTTTAAAGTGGTATTAATACTTCACGCGATCTTGATTTTATCCCTCTGTTAATGCAGCCTAGCACTGAGTTGGCTTTTTGGGCAGCTGCAGCACACGGCTGGAACTTACGTTCCTTTGCAGCTGACTCCTTATTAATAAGTACCTCTGAAGGTCTTCTGAGCTTCACTGGGAGGCAATTTTCAAGGGATAAGTAGAGGTGCCACTTCATTTTGGTTGAGTTCCATATTCTGCAATTCATCCCAGCCTTACATAAAGATCCATAGAAATATCTGGAGAAGTTCCTTACAAGAGGAGGCAGTCGCTTATAAAAAAAGTGAAATAGGAAGAATGTATTTCCTCACAGTTGGAAGTTGGATTTTACCTTCATAAATACTTGCATTTGAATCTTTCTCCTTCACGTTTTTACACGTTTTCCCTGTATACAAAAGTTCTTTATTATTTCACTGATATAGATTTCCTTCATCAGCAGCCCTCTATCTCTGGTCTCTTGTGAAACTCACAAGAATAGCAGAGCTCATGACATTTTTACTGATACTGAGAGATTTCGACAGAGGAGAATATTTGTAACTCAGAATTGGAATGAGGGGGTCCTTGATGCTCTCTTAGTTGGCTATTTTCTTGCAGACGTTTCATTAGCCAGCTAGGTAACATCATCAGTTCTAATAGGGAGTGGGGTTTGCTCTCATTTTATATTTTAATGGTTTGTTCTGTCAGTGTTGGTGAAACTAGCCTTGATGGTTCCTTGGTTAGGCTGCTGTTTACTCTTAGTTTATTCGGCAGTTCCTTGATTGGGGTATCGTTTGCTTCTTGATTGTTGGTCTAATGTTGCCAGGCTTCCAGGAATTCTGGCTTGATCCAAGCCTGGCACTCTGACAAATGGGCATCAACAGGCACATAGTCATACACAACATCTACATACCATTTAAAGGATACAATCAACAAGCCAAAAAAGGAACATAATTATCAGAACACCTCCTCACTAGCAATCAACCCTCAAATGAGCAGAGATTAACATCAACAATAAATAAAGACCAACGATCAAGAAGCAACAATTCCCCAATCAAGAAACTGCCAGCAGGGGAATTCTGGCAAAAATTTAAAGTTGTCAAGATTGGACACTCCTGTGTCTAACTTTTTGTCTTGCCTGGACTGCATTGAGTGAAAAGGAATTGTCTTATTTGACTGCATATAAAATAGATAATACAGCTAATGTACATAAATCACATAATAATGTTAAAAGTTTGTAGTCTTGTGTGGCCACATTACTAGCTGTCCAGGGGTCATGGATTGGACACGCCCACTTTAATGAAATACATTAAATATAAATATTTGGCAATGCATTTAAAGTGACCAATTGAATAAATGGATCCTTAAGTTTACTTAGTATCATTAATTAATAAAAGCTCGAAATATTTTTTTTTTGAGTTGGTAAATTACATTGAGCAGGAAAGATTGATTTCTATTTAGTTTTGGAGAATGACCTTTTGGTATTAAATGAATATTAACTACCCAACTGTTTACTTAAAAAGCAGCTGTGGGCTCTTAAAAGTATTCTCCTTTGAGACTAGCAGAGCCTAATTTTCATATTAAATCATTGTTCTTCACATTTGCTATGTCTGGAATTACATAACTGAAAAACAAGAGAACAATTAGTAGAGCTAATGGGACATATGAGCAACATTCTTTAACAAAAGATGATCATTTTAGGCATTTATTACTGCAATACCTTCTTGTAATATTCATTTTTGTCATTAGAATATAGAATTATAGATAGGCACACCCTGTCTCTTGGGAAGACTTATTAAAACCACAGGAGAGGTTGAATCATAGCCTCCTTTAGCATCCCTTCGCCTCTCGTCTCTTTATAAGAATGTTTTTAAAAATGTGAAGTGTTTCTATAGAAAAGTTGTGTGCCTTGTACCATAGGACGTTCATCCCTCTGATGCTGCTAAAAAATTAATTCTTAGCTCCCTCAAGAGGACAGAGTAGTGCATTGAGCTTTGATAAATATGAATTTTGAAAATCATGTGTGAATATTCTCAGAAATCACACTAAGGGAACAAAAATGGATTTTTTTTGCATAAAGAGCTTTTGAAGCTATAGGATAACATCTTCTAAATCAGGGGTCCACAATCCCCGTTTCTCGGCCCAGTGTTGGGCTGCAGCCCATTCAGAACCGAGCCGCGGAAGTGGTGGGCACACGTGTGTGCAACACTGCATTTGTGAAAGTGGCACTCACACACGTACAAAACCATCCTCTCTAGCCACAGCTGCCTCCACCAGTCCACTGAGCCAGAAAGGTTGGAGACCGCTGTCCTAAATATTGTTTATTTGGTTTTCTGAACAATACCGTGTTTTCCCGAAAATAAGACCTAATCGGAAAATAAGCTCCAGCGTGATTTTTCAGGATGCTCGTAATATAAGCCCTACCCCAAAATTAAGCCCCAGTTAAGATCGCCAGCCAGATGGATGCATTGAACAAATATTTCTCTGAAAATAAGGTCTAACTGGAAAATAAGCCCTAATGCAGGGGTCTTCAAACTTGGCCCTTTTATGACTTGTGGACTTCAACTCCCAGAATTCCTCAGCCAGGCACGCTCAAAACCAAGCCAGTTTTGACCCGAGGATGGAAGGTTATCCTAAATTATCCTAATCAAATGTTTCCAGAGCAACCGTGTGTAACCCAACACACTTCCTGATTTGTTTTTTACAAAGATTGATTTAGGAGAGCTACCTTCCTTCCTTTCACTTCAGATTGATTCGTGCCTCAACAGAAATTTAGACGATTTCTTATTGGCCTAGCTAAGCCGATATTTAAACACCTGGCAAGCGCAGTCATCAGTATCATCTATAATGCAAAGGTGCGATTGTGTTACTTTAGTTTTGCAGTAATACAAGAGGTGTATCCATTAGCGCTAAGCGTCCTTAACAAGACCCCATTGTGACTGAGAGATGAGTTTGGCTTAATGGTCCAGAAATTGCACAGTCCGACTATGTATGTTTCACAGTGTGGGAAGAATTTATAAATTTATATAACTGTGTTAGAAATATTCTGTAGGGAATCATATGTTAACTAACTCGGGTCTCCAACAGAGTTACTGATTAACAGCCCCCCCCCAAATCCTGTAAACTCACAGCAAACATAAGAATTAATGAAATACTTATTTCAAATTGTAAACACATCCAAGCAAACACACCAAGCTGAGTCAACACAATGTAAACAATCATACGCTCACAGTTCAAACAAAGAAACTCAATCCACATCACTTGATTTAATCAATCTCTTCTCCGAGTCAACACATACACACACCCACGCCTCTCAAGTGTCACACACTAGCATCAGCATGCCCCTCCATCCCATACTAAGGACCAATCCCCCTATAAAACATTCTCTGTGTGTACCCCATGTTCTCTGTAGCTACCCCCATGGGCAAACCTATTTGTTTTTGGAAAAGAATAAATCTCCTTTCCTCACAGTATCTGGATTTCATTTTGATTTGTTCCTGTGCAATTTAGAACCCTACATTATTCTTCTGACAATAGGCTGATGTCTAATTTTCTTTTAATCCAACTCTGAAGTTCACAGGCTGGTTCAAGGAAAGGAAGCCATCGATGAATGACCATGATCCATATTTTTCAAAAAAAAAACCATAATCTGTCTTATAAACTACAATACAGGGTAATTCAGTTTTGGGGTTAGACGGAAAGTGTGTTGTAGCGATGCAGATATTGGACCAGGAATGGGAAGACCCAGGTTTGAGACTCTTCTTATGCACAGAAGATTGTGGGGTGACTCTCCTCTCTCACCTCCAAAGTTACAGGTGGTCCTCGACTTACGACCGCATTTGAGATCAGAAATCCCATTACTAAACAAGACAGTCGTTAAGTGGGCCACACCTGCTTTCACAAACTTTTCTGCCCCTGTTGTTAAGCAAATTACTACAGTTAGTAAGTGAATCACTTGGTTCTTAAATGAATCTGTAAACTGTAAACCACCGGGGAAAATCTTAATCTCAGCTGTTCTGGTTGGTCGTGGACTTCAGTAAACATCAGACCTTATTGAAAAAAGACACCAAGTTCTTTATATTACTTTTATGCTCCCGAGATCCATCCACAGCAATGACAGGATTGTCTGGATATTTTTTTTTTCCTTTTTGCAGGAACTGCCTCTGTTGCTATAGCAGGAATCTTCGCTGCCTTAAGAATTACAAAGAACAAGCTTTCTGATCATAGGTTTGTCTTCCAAGGAGCTGGCGAGGTAGGATTCTGGTTTGCTTCTGAGAGTTACAGGGTTTGGGGGAACCACTGCTCAGCCTTGCGAGGTAGTCCACACTAGAAGGGCATCTGGAAGCACTAGCCCCACTTAGTTGTAAGACAGTGGTTCTCAACTTGTGGGTCGGGACCCCATTTGGAGTCGAACGACCATTTCACGGGGGTCGCCAAACAGCACAGTCCACCATTTTTTTCCCCCTTTTCCTTAGCTGTGCTACTCCCTTTTATTCTATTCGCTTTTGAAAGCCAATAGAATAGACTCTCTTGAACAGAGTCTAATTCAGTGGTTCTCAACCTTTTTAATACCACGACCCCCAACCGGTCATAAGTCGAGGACTACTCAACCAGTCGTAAGTCGAAGACTACTCAACTGGTGCAGCACCGTTTGCAGAAGGGGACTTTTGGCGGGCTCAGCAGGGCAGAGACAGCCTGGACAATTCCTATTGGCTTTTGGAAGCCAATAGAATTAGATTCTATTCAAGAGAGTCTATTCTATTGGCTTTCAAAAGCCAATAGAATAAAAGGGAGTAGCACAGCTAAGAAAAAGGGGAAAAAATGGCGGACTGCGTTGTTTGGCGACCCCTGTGAAATGGTCGTTCGACCCCAAATGGCGTCCCAACCCACAGGTTGAGAACCATTGGTCTAATTCTATTGGCTTTCAAAAGCCAATAGGAATTGTCCAGGCTGTCTCTGTCATTGAGGCCCCTTGGAGGTTTACCTGTGTCCTGAGGATCACCTGAGCAGCACAAATGGGTGTGGAGCCTTCTTGGCTGCAGGATGTTTTCTGCTCTGTGTCCCTTCACTGTTGAAGACAGGCGCAGGCTGTTGGGGATGAGTCTGTGTTGTCTGCATCTCAAACCATTTGCGCTTCAGTTTGAGATGCAGACAGCACAGACTCAGCCCCAACAACAGTGAAGAGACACAGGGCAGAAAACATCCTGCAGCCAAGAAAGCTCCACACCCCTTTGCACTACTCAGGTGGCCCTGAGTGGCCTTACTCTTTCATTCCTCCGGTTAGAACAGTGGTTCTCAACCTGTGGGTCGGGACCCCATTTGGGGTTGAACGACCATTTCACGGGGGTATATAAATAAAATACTATTCCCTGTTTAGGTGGATCTGGATTCCTTGACTTGCCTTTGATGAAATTGAAGTTCTAGCAGTTATACAATGTTATCATATAAATGAGCATTAAAATTAGCCATATTCATTAGTTCTACGCTTGCCACCATCATCTTATGTTGTCAACCATACTTAAGTGGGTACTCACTGGTGGAAAATGCACCAGGAGACTTCTTTTTGTTAAATGTCTAAGGCAGTGGTTCTCAACCTATGAGTCGGAACCCCATTTGGGGTCGAACGACCATTTCACGGGGGTCGCCAAACAACGCAGTCCCCCATTTTTTCCCCCTTTTCCTTAGCTGTGCTACTCCCTTTTATTCTATTGGCTTTTGAAAGCCAATAGAATAGACTCTCTTGAATAGAGTCTAATTCTATTGGCTTTCGAAAACCAATAGGAATTGTCCAGGCTGTCTCTGCCCTGCTGAGCCCGCCAAAAGTCCCATTCTGCAAACGGTTGCTGCACCAGTTGAGTAGTCCTCGACTTACGACCGGTTGGGGGTCGCAGCATTAAAAATGTTGAGAACCACTGGGTTAGAAGGAAATAATGAATTGACTTTTCGCTTCTTGGCAGGCGGCTTTGGGTATTGCTCACCTCATAGTTATGGCACTCGAGAAAGAAGGAATTCCCAGAGAAGAAGCCGTTAAGAAAATCTGGATGGTGGACTCGAAAGGTCTCATCGTCAAGGTAATTGTCAGCCCCTTAAAACAGACACCACAGGGATTCCAGGAACGCTGCAGCATCTGTAATTGGGATTAGTAAATCTGTTGCTAAGGGACTGTGACTGTGGCATCTTATGATGGCAGTTCTGCTAGTCCAGGTGCCATCGCTAGACAAATTTTGCAGGGATGCTGCATCCTGCAGACATCTGATCGCCATTTCTAACCTCTTGCCAGCTTCCCCATTAGAACAGAGAACGTAGAATACTTAAGTTGGAAGGGACCTTGGAGGTCTTATAATCCACCCCTGCTCAAGCAGGAGACAAGTGGTCGTCCAATCTCTTCTTAAAAAGCTCCAGTGATGGAGCACTCATAACTTCCAGAGGCATGCAATTCCACTGATTAATGTTCTCACTGCCAAGAAATGTTTCCTAAATTGGATTTCTTCATGATAAACTTCCATCCATTGCTTCTTGCCCTGCCCTCGGGTGCTTTGGAGAATACGTTGATCCCCTCTTCTCTGTGACAGCCGCTCAGTTGGAAGACTGTTATCATATCACCCCTAGTCCTTCTCTTTATTAGACTAGACATACCAAGTTCTCTCAATCATTCATCATGTGGCTTAGCCTCTAAGACCCTTTATTATCTTTGTTGCTCTTTTCTGCCCTATTTCTAGAGTTGCCAGATCTTTTCTGTATTATGGTAAACAGAACTGGACACAGTATACCAAGGGTGGTCTCACCAGGTCAATATAAAGCTGTCCTACCACTTCACATGAAATGATTAGGCGGCTGGACGCTAAAACGTACGAAGAATAGTTACAGGAATTGGGTATGCCTAGTCTAAGAAAAAGGACTAGGGAGGACATGCTAGCACTGTTCCAATATTTGAGGGGCTCCTCCAAAGACGAGGGGGTCAAACTTTTTTCCAAAGCACCAAAAGGCAAGATGAGAAACAATGGATGGAAACTAATCAAGGGAGAGAAGCAACCTAGAACTAAGGAGAAATTTCCTGACAGTTAGAACAATGAATCAGTGGAACAGCTTGCCTTCAGAAGTTGTGGATGCTCTGTCACTGAAGGATTTCAAAAAGAGACTGGGAACCATTTGTCTGAAATGATATAGGATCCCATGCTGGAGCAAGGGGTTGGATTAGAAGACCTCAAAGGTCCCTTCCAACTCTATTATTATTCATCCATCCCATTCCATTCTATTCTATTCCATTCTATTCTATTCTATTCCATTCCATTCCATATTCTATTCTATTCCATTCCATATCATATTTTCTATTCTATTCTATTCCATTCCATTCCATTTCATTCCATATCACATTTTCTGTTCTATTCTATTCTATTCTATTCTATTCTATTCTATTCTATTCTATTCTATTCCATTCCATTCCATTCCATTCCATTCCATATCATATTTTCTATTCTATTCTGTTCTATTCCATTCCATTCCATATTCTATTCTATTCCATTCCATTCCATATCATATTTTCTATTCTATTCTATTCTATTCTATTCTATTCTATTCTATTCTATTCTATTCTATTCTATTCTATTCTATTCTATTCTATTCTATTCTATTCTTGCATTGACTTACTTTGTCAGAAGCCAGCTTAAGAAGGTCACAAATGGCATCACTCAACTAGCGATCACTGAATTGTGGGAATTCAGTGTTGAGTGAAGAATTTACTTTGGCCACCCTCAGAATCCCATCATTCAAACACTTTGGAAAATTTGCGTCCAGATCCCAAAAGCTTCTGAATAAGACAAGGATTATGGAATCAGATTTCTTACCCCTTCCCTCTCTAATACTAAGAGCTTGGTGTGAGTAACAATATTTTAAAAAATAGAATAAAATATTCCATAAATATAAAAACAGCTCACCCATATATTTTTTTTAAATGATTCAGACTTTCTTTTTGCTATGGCCATCAAGATAGCCTATTAAATGAATGACCAGCTGCCTCTCTGGAAATGTTCAGGATTGGTGACTCTCCAGGAAGGATGAGTTTGGCCAGGTTTTGTTGAGTAACCACTGAGAACAAGTCTTTCATATATCTAATCCCCGTAGATCCACAATGCTGGAAAAATGGCTTGCTCCAGTCTTTTTTTTTTTTTTAACTTGGAAATATGTTTGCCTGTGCTTTTCTTGTTTCCCAGGGCAGAAGTCATCTGAACCACGAGAAGGAGATGTTTGCTCATGACCATCCCACTGTGAAGACCCTGGAGGAAGTGGTGCGGACAATAAAACCAACAGCTATTATTGGTAACTGTTCTGGTTTCCTTGTAGAATTCTCTCTGTTCTTCACGCCTTCCTGTTGACTCTCACTTTCATGCTGCAATTACTTACTTATTTATTTATGATTTGTTAATAATTTATTTATTATTATTTATTACATTTTTTTTAAATCCTACCTTTATTACTATAGAAGTATCTCAAGGCGGTGAATATACCTAATACTCCTTCATCCTCCTATTTTTTTCCCCACAACCTTGTGCGATGAGTTGAGGTGAGAGAGCATGATTGGCCCAAAGTCACCCAGCTGACTTCCCATCCTAAGGCAGGACTAGAACTCCCTGTCTCCCGGTGATTGGCCCACAGTCACCCAGCTGACTTCCCATCCTAAGGCAGGGCTAGAACTCCCTGTCTCCCGGTGATTGGCCCAAAGTCACCCAGCTGCCTTCCATCCTAAGGCAGGGCTAGAACTCCCTGTCTCCCGGTGATTGGCCCACAGTCACCCAGCTGACTTCCCATCCTAAGGCAGGCTAGAACTCACTGTCTCCCGGTGATTGGCCCAAAGTCACCCAGCTGACTTCCCATCCTAAGGCAGGGCTAGAACTCCCTGTCTCCCGGTGATTGGCCCAAAGTCACCCAGCTGACTTCCCATCCTAAGGCAGGGCTAGAACTCCCTGTCTCCCGGTGATTGGCCCAAAGTCACCCAGCTGACTTCCATCCTAAGGCAGGGCTAGAACTCCCTGTCTCCCGGTGATTGGCCCAAAGTCACCCAGCTGACTTCCATCCTAAGGCAGGGCTAGAACTCCCTGTCTCCCGGTGATTGGCCCAAAGTCACCCAGCTGACTTCCCATCCTAAGGCAGGGCTAGAACTCCCTGTCTCCCGGTGATTGGCCCAAAGTCACCCAGCTGACTTCCATCCTAAGGCAGGGCTAGAACTCCCTGTCTCCCGGTGATTGGCCCAAAGTCACTTCATTATTTTTTATGGCTAAGATGGGACTACAACTCCCCAGTCTCCTGGTGACTGGCACAAAGTCACCCAGCCAGCATTCATGGCTTAGGCAGAACTAGAACTTATTGTGGGGAAAATATTAGGAAGAAGATGTGTTGCATATGTTCACCACTTTGAGTAATTTGTAAAACTAATAAAGGCGGGATGCAAATAGCAAAACACTTAAGCAGGTTGGGACATCACTTCACATCATGGTCTAAAAGCATGCTTCATTGGCGTGAGCTTTTTATGGCCTGGTTGATGGCACAGATCCAGCCTGTTTGCTTAGCTTTTCCTTCAGCATTTGTGTGAACCCAGAAAACAGGTACATTCAGTTCTCAGGTAACGTGTACATAGAAATTAGCAATAGCACTTACAGTGGTGGCGAAGCTTTTAGAGACCGAGTGTCCCAAAACCACCCCTCCCGCCACCCTGTGCCCTGCCTGCCCTCAAAGCCACCCCCTCCACGGCCCACAGCAACCGATCACCCAGGCGACCCCACAACACCATGGTGGCCACACCCTCCATCTGCGCCCTGCAGCATCATCTGCGCATGATGGAGCGCGAGGGTGGAGTCTTGTCCCCACTACCTGGCTGCCATGTCCTTGGCTGAGCTGCTCTGCACGGGCCGCACCCAGGGGCGATTCTTCTCCAGGGGGGCTGCTGGTGAGGAGGGGGCCGTGGGGGAAGTCAGGGCTGGGATGAAAGCACACGTGCCCACAGAGAGGGCTCTGAGTGCCGCCTCTGGCACACATGCCATAGGTTCGCCACCACTGACTTAGACAATGCTTTACTCTAAGCAGTTTACAGAGCATATTTGCCCCCAACAACCTGGGTCCTCATTTCACTGACCTCGGAAGCATGGAAGGCTGAGTCAACCTTGAGCTGGTCAATTCGTTTCCATCCAACTCTTGTTTTCTTCCGTTTGTTCTCTTCCCTTTTAAAAAAATCTTGCAGGTGTGGCTGCTGTGGCAGGTGCTTTCACTCACCGGATTTTGAAGGACATGGCGACCTTCAACGAGAAGCCCATTGTGTTCGCCCTCAGCAACCCAACGAGCAAAGCAGAATGTACAGCTGAAGATTGTTACCGCTTGACAGACGTAAGACTGCTCTTGTCGAAGCTTCCATCTACAGCAGTGGTTCTCAACCTTTTTAATGCCGCGACCCACAACCGGTTGTAAGTTGAGGACTACTCAACCGGTCGTAAGTCGAGGACTACTCAACTGGTGCAGCACCGTTTGCAGAATGGGACTTTTGGCGGGCTCAGCAGGGCAGAGACAGCCTGGACAATTCCTATTGGCTTTTGAAAGCCAATAGAATTAGACTCTATTCAAGAGAGTCTATTCTATTGGCTTTCAAAAGCCAATAGAATAAAAGGGAGTAGCACAGCTAAGGAAAAGGGGGAAAAAATGGCGGACTGCATTGTTTGGCGACCCCCGTGAAATGGTCGTTCGACCCCAAATGGGGTCCCGACCCACAGGTTGAGAACCACTGGTCTACAGAGAGTCCTCTGCTCACGAGTGTACTTGAGCCAACAATTGCGGTCCTAGGTTGAGATGTCATTAAGTGGATCATCGTGTGGCCGTGCCCAATTTGATGACATTTGGTGCAACGTGCAATAAGCAAACGCCAGGGTCCTTGTTCATTATGGCAGATTTTTTTTTTTAAAGGAAACTGAAACTTATCGCAAGTCTCTGGCAAAAATATTATACAGCTAGTCTTTGACTTCCAACAGTGCATTTAGTGACTATTTGAAATTACAATGGCATGGAAAAACGCCACTTATTACCGTTTGTCACACTTACAACCACTGCCGCATCCCCATGGTCACATGATCAAAATTCAGAAGCTTGGTGCCTAGTTCATATTTATAGACGGCTGCAATGTCTCCCGGGGTCACGTGATCCACTTTTGCGACCTTCTGACACGCAAGGTCAATGGGGGAAGCCAGATTCACTTCACAACCAGGTTACTAACTTAACAACTGCAGTGATTCACTTAACAGCTACGTCAAGGAAGGTCGTAAAATGGGGCAAAAACTCGCTTAAATGTTTCACCTAGCAACAGAAATTTTGGGTTCAATTGTCGTCGTAAGTCGAGGACTGTCTGTACTTTGTGGTCATGTGACCAAGGGATGCTGCAAATGGCAGTAAAGGTGAGCCCGTTACTGAAATGACATCAGGTGTCTGCAGGTGGGTGGTCTCAACCATTGGGACTTGAAAACAGAGTTGTCAGTACCTTTTTCAGGGCTAACTTTGAACGGTTGCTATGTGGCCAGTCATAAGTCAAGGATTACCTGTAGGCGATTTTGCTACTGGGGAGGCCACTGTTTGAGGACAAGCTTGTCTCTCAGGTGGAACCTGTCAAATCTGAAACACATCATGCTTGGAATGGAGACTTCCAACCAGCATTTGGTGCTTTTAGGGGCTTAAAACATTGCTAGAATGGTTAAAAAACAAAAAGCATCAGAAGATTTCCAGTCACTTCAAAGCAGCTATTTCATGTCTGACGTCTTTTAACATGGCAGGCTTTTGCATCCGTTCCTTGTTTTCCTTTTTCCTGTTCCATTCACCTCCTTCGCCATATGCTAAATAAAAATAAAAATTAAATAAAATTAAAATTAAAATAAAATAATAAAATTAAAATAAATAAATAATATAATATAATAAAATAAATAAAATAAAATAATAAAATTGAAATAAAATAAAATAAAAAATAAATCAAATAATAAAATAACAAAATAATAAAATAAAATAATAAAAAATAAAATTAATATAATAAAATAACAAAATAATAAAATAAAGTAATAAAAAATAAATAAAATGAAATAAAATAGTAAAATTGAAATAAAATAAAATAAAAAATAAATCAAATAATAAAATAACAAAATAATAAAATAAAATAATAAAAAATAAAATAAATAATATAATAAAATAACAAAATAATAAAATAAAGTAATAAAAATAAAAAATAAATAAAACAAAATAAAATAATAAAATAAAATAAAATAAAAAATTAAAATAAAATAAAATAAATAAAATTATAAAAAATAAAATAATAAATAAAACTAAATAAAATAATAGAATAACAAAATAATAAATAAAGTGATAAAAATAATAAAATAATATAAATAAAATAATAAAATAACATAAAATAATAAAATAAATAAAGTAATAAAACAATAAAAAATATAAAATAAAATAATAAAATAAAATAATAAAACAAAATGCCTTGACTTCCTATCAGATGGTGCCTGGACTTTCTCTTGCATTTCTTTGGATAGGGCCGGGCCATATTCGCCAGCGGGAGCCCGTTTCCGAAGGTGACCCTCTCCGATGGACAGACCTTCTTCCCTGGTCAAGGGAACAACGCCTACGTTTTCCCCGGAGTTGCTCTAGGAGTCATCGCCTGTGGACTCCGTCACATCTCCGAGGAAATCTTTCTCACCACAGCAGAGGTTTGTGTTCTTATGTCCCCTTTTACTTCCAAGGAGAGGTTATGTCATGGGTCCCATCAATTGAGGTACATCTGATGGGACCACAAAAAAAGGCCTTCTCTGTGGCGGTCCCTTCCCTCTGGAGCATCATTCTCCCTGAAGTATGATTGGCCTCCACCATGTTGCTTTTTGGATATACTAGTTTTGTAAGTGGGCTTCAGAAGATGGAGCTGATCAAGTGGTTGATTTGATTGATTGAGCTGTAGTGTGCAGTGGTTAGAATGCAGTACTGCAGGCTATTTCCGTTTACTGCCGGCTGCCTGCAGCTTGGCAGTTCAATTCTGATGGGGCTCAAGGGTTGACTCAGCCTTCCACTTTTTCAAGGATGGTAAAATGAGGACCCAGATTGTTGGGGACAATATGCTGACACTGTAAACCATTTAGAGAGGGCTGTAAAGCACTATGAAGCGGAATACAAGTCTAAGTGCTATTGCTATTGTGTTGTTGCCATGGGGGTGGGTGGGTTATGGGGTTTTAAGTGGTGGATTGTTAAATGTTATAAGCCAGAGGCCACCAAGTCTCAGGCCACGGCCCACTACCGGTCTGCAGCCCATTCAGAACTGGCCCACAGAAGTGGCAGGTAAGCGCATGCAGCTGTGACAAGAAAAATCACAAAATGGGGCAAAACTCAGTTACCAAATGTGTCACTTAACAACAGAAATTTTGGGCTCAGTTATGGTGGTAAGTCCAGGACCCCCTGTGTGTAGAGTAGATGGAACAACAGTCAGACTTGGAGTAAGCCAACTTTCCTAGGAAGAGCTAGAATCTAGACCAGGGGTAGGCAACCTTGGATCTTTTATGACTCGTGGACTTCAACTCCCAGAATTCCTGAGCCAGCCATGCTGAGGGGAAAGGGAGAGGTTTCCAAGCTGAGCCATGCTGGCTCAGGAATTCTGGGAGTTGAAGTCCACAAATCATAAAATAAACAAGGTTGCCTACCCCTGGCTTAGGTTAAGTACTACTAGATACACAAAGAGAAGATGTAGTCCTTGTTGGAAAACATTTCCTAATGTGATGCACACTTTCTTTCTTCTCTCCTAGGCAATTGCACAAGAGGTTACACAGGAAAATCTGGCTGAAGGAAGGCTGTATCCCCCTTTGAGCTCCATTCGAGACGTGTCCTTCAAAATTGCGGTTAAAGTAAGACATTTTATGAGGTTCCTGGTATGAGAGATTTAAGTTCCTACTCTTGAAAACAAACTCCTGTTTCCTCTCTGTTTTGAAACAATGAATGTTTCAGCATCCGGCTACACATCATTAAACTAAATATGCATCAAAAGAAATCTATTTTATAGGTAGTCCTCGACGTAGGACCAAAATGGAGCCTTCACATTATGGTTGAAAGTCACGACAGTCATAAAATGAGCCAGTCACGTAACAGACAATTTTATGACCTTTTTGTGGTGGTTGTTAAGCAAACATTGTGGTGGTAAAGTGGCTGCCGCATCAGTTAAGCAATGCCACAATTGTTTAAGTCAGTGGTTCTCAACCTGTGGGTCGGGACCCCATTTGGGGTCGAACGACCATTTCACGGGGGTCGCCAAACAACGCAGTCCGCCATTTTTTTCCCCTTTTCCTTAGCTGTGCTACTCCCTTTTATTCTATTGGCTTTTGAAAGCCAATAGAATAGACTCTCTTGAATAGAGTCTAATTCTATTGGCTTTCAAAAGCCAATAGGAATTGTCCAGGCTGTCTCTGCCCTGCTGAGCCCGCCAAAAGTCCCATTCTGCAAACGGTGCTGCACCAGTTGAGTAGTCCTCGACTTAGGACCGGTTGAGTAGTCCTCGACTTACGACCGGTTGTGGGTCGCGGCATTAAAAAGGTTGAGAACCACTGGTTTAAGCAAACCAATTGTTCGTTATGACCACAGTTTTACCAAAAACTGGAAGTACATTTTTGGGCAAAACTGTCACAAAATGCAGTCACATGACCAAGGGATCCTACAAATGGTCATAAATGCAATTGTATTAGCGAGCACCTGATATTCAGTCACGTGACCAAGAGGAGGGAGCAGTTTGATCTTCAAATGTGGATCAAAAGTAGCCCCAAGTTAGTTTTGTCCTAATTTCAAATGGTTGTTAAATAGCATCCATAGAGCAAATCACAAAATGTCTACGTTGTCTACAATACCTATCATATCGTGGTTGGCTTTGGAGGCTGGGAGTTATCTAGGTCAGGGGTCCCCAACCCCCGGGCCGCTGACCAGTACCAGGCCATGGCATGCCAGCAACTGATCCACACAAACAAGCAAAGCCCCATCCGCGAGATGCAGGCAGCACACAAAATCATGCATTCTCGGGTCCGCAGAAAAACCTCTCTCCACAGAACTGGTCCCTGGTACCCAAAAGGTTGGGGACCTCTGATCTAGATCAGTGGTTCTCAAACTATGATGTGCAGACACCGGGGGGGTGTGTGATGTCATCACAGGGTGTTCACCAAAGCTTAAAGAAATGTTATGATTTGAATCTTAAGTCTTGGTGATGCACAAAAGTTATTTAAAGAGGGTCTGTGTTGAGGAAAAGGTTGACAACCACTGACTTAGATCAGAGGTCCCCAACCTGTGGGCCACTACCAGTTTGTGGCCTATTCGCAACCAGGTCACATGAATGGTTGGCTGGTGCATACACGTTTGCGTACAGCCCCCCTCAAGCGAGTGTCACGGGCACTCGGGGCCCCACTCACATAACCGTCACAGGCACTCGCAGCCCCAATTGTGCAAGCATCACAGATGCTCTCAGCCTCACTCGCGTGAGCAAAGGGTGCTCATGTGAGCATGCGTGCATGCGCACAAGTCTGCCCCTTCCCCGCCCGAGCTGCCAACCCGGACAGGTTGGGGAATTCTGATCTAGTTGGAATAAATGGCTTTGTCCAATGTTTTTTTTTTCTTCTGTCTCTTGTTCTTAGGTGGTTGACTATGCCTATAAACACAACTTGGCCTCCTGGTATCCTGAGCCAGAAGACAAAGAAGCATTTGTGAAATCCCTCGTTTACAGCCCTGACTATGATTCCTTCATTATTGATAGTTACCAGTGGCCACAGGAAGCAATGAAGACTCAAAATATTTAATTCTTCTCTTTTGTGAAGGCAGGCAAGAGGAGTCTTCAAGATGCTAAAGTGTCTTGACTGTCAAGCTTGTAGGATCTTCTGTTATAAATTGAGAGAAGAGCAAGTACCCATCCTTTCCATGAGCAGCTTCCCTTTTTTAAAAAAAATAATAATAATCAGCCGGAAATCATACAAAGTAAACAAGGACCAATTATGCCACCAGCAGCCAACGAATTGTTGTGATTAGACGAAGTTTAGAAAGTTCCAATATTCTTGAAAATCTCCTTTCGCGAGTCAAACTGACCTTCCCTTATCGGGTCTTTTCCAAATGTATTAGAAATTCAACTCTCCAAATTCCCTCTCAGCATGGTTCCCTTCCAGGATGATGAAGGCTAGATTAAGAATTTCTGCAGAGTTTATAGAAAATGCTTTTGCTTAGATGGCTTCATCCCAAAGAATGCCTATTAAACTGATGCACTTGCTATGGCCTTTCACAGTAAAGGTCACCATCCATGGGTTTAGGACAGGGGTAGACAACCTTGGCTCTTTTATGACTCGTGGACTTCAGCTCCCAGAATTCCTGAGCCAGCCATGCTGAGGGGAAAGGGAGAGGTTTCCAAGCTGAGCCATGCTGACTCAGGAATTCTGGGAGTTGAAGTCCACGAGTCATAAAAGAGCCAAGGTTGCCTACTCCTGGTTTAGGAGAATGCAGCTGTTTCAAAATACTCATGGAATAGCCATGACATACAATTCAGAAGTGACTTCTTGCCCAGAGTTCTGCATGGCTTCTACCGGTCTTAACAACTATTATTAAGGCCCTGATCCTAACCCTGATCCTCATTAGAGTTGTGGACAGTGGTATTAGTAGTTACACAGAATTCCCACTAACCGAATTTACTGAAAAAAATCCAGATAACTGATATTTCTCTATCCAGCTTATATAACGTCCTGTTACTATATAACAATGAAAGTTCTGCCAAACTCACTACGTTTTGGTTGGCCGCATGGAGTAACTCAAGAAGCACTCCCAAGTGTATGGTCACAACAATACGTATATCCATAGTTAATTAAGTCCTGGTTTACTCAAGTACCTCAGGTTTGTAGGTCGCATGATACAGTATGCCGAAAGATAACAATAGCATAAGGTGGATTCATGCAACGTATAAAAATATGGTTGACCATTTCATGCTCCAGTTTGAATACAGGTAATCCTCAGCTTAGGATGGCAATTGGGACAGTTCTCTCTTTCGTTAAAACAAGACCTCATAGTTTAGCAACAGCAATCCCTGGAGTCCTTGTTGCCTTTGTTAACCAAATCCCACAGTTCTTAGATGAGGCATCTTCCTGCCAGTTGCCCATAACCAAAGTCCTGGGCCAGCAGGCAGCTAAGAGGCTTGTGCTGAGTAGAGGGAGGTAGAAAGGATGTGGGAAGGATGCATCAGTCAGGGAAACGTAACCCAACAACTTGCAACCTTCCTGTAGGCTTTCCCATTGACTTTCTGGGGAAGCCAGCAGGGGAAGGTTCCAAATGACAATCATATGATTGTGTGCTCTGCAACTGGTTGTAAGTGCAAACTGGTTGCCAAGGGCCCAAATCGTGATCGTGTGACTGTGGAGAGGCTGGAACAACCAGCACCCCAAGGACCAATCACAGCCATCATTCATTCAGTGCTGTTCAAACTTCAAACAGTTGCTGAATGAATACTCGTAGGTTGACTATCTGTAGCTAATACAATTTAAAAAGGGGGCTTTGATGGTGACTATAGACCAGTGTTTCCCAACCTTGACGACTTTAAGATATGTGGACTTCAATTTCCAGAATTCCCCAGCCATCCAGCTGGCTGGGGAGTTCTGGGAATTGAAGTCCGCACATCTTAAAATCGGCAAGATTGGGAAACACTACTATAGATTATAGCTTTTTTTCAGGCCTGTTCTGTAGAAATAGCACTCAAGTATCTCAAGGGTTCTGGTTAGAGCTTAGGATAGAGTTAGGAGTGGGGATTTTAAGCTGGTCTTCAGACCTTCCCATTAAGGATGATCCTGGCTTTACCCAGTCTTAGAGAAATGGATGTAACTTTTCTAATAAAACTGCAATTTCAACCTCGAGTATTGAGAAAGAGAACGCAAAGCCTTGCTCCAAATTGCAACCTTTGTGTTTTATTTTGGTGGAAAGGGAAGCCAGGGGATATGGATTAGAGAATGTCCTGCAGAAGCTCCTTTAGCTGTGTCTTAAGCTTAAATCATGAGACGGTCACTATTATGCCTTGAAGAAAAAAAAATCATTTTTTAATTCACATGCCTCGCCATCAAACACAACCCAGAAATTGTAATCTCAGGGACTATTCTCTCTCTCTCTTTCTCTCTCTCTCTCTCTCTCTTTTTTTTTTTCTTTAACGATATTGTATTTAAAATCATGAACCTAGTGGTGGCCTAGTGGTGACGATGCTCCCCTCCCACTTGGAAGGTTAAGAGTTCAATTCTAGGTAGCCAGCAGATGTTTCTCTCTTACAGCTCAGAGAAAAAATATCTGCTCTGAACTATGCATGGTATCAGGAAGGGCATCTGGCTAGTAAATGCTCAGCTCCATCCAGTCGCCCTGATTCTACCCTGAATTATGGGATTACAGAATTGTACAAAGGGAGTATTGTATTTAAAATCATAGAAGAGGCCATTCAGGGCTCTAAACCCACCCCCTCACCAATACAAATTAGGGCACCCCCCCCCCCGACAGATGGCTGTCTAGCCTCTCCTTGTATCGTACACCCTTAGCCCAAAGTGCCACCATGTCTTCTCTGGTTGGCTGGACCCCATCAGAGAAAATATGCCTATGAAGAAGTTTTCCCAACCTTGGCAACTTTAAGACACATGGACTTCAATTCCCAGAATTCCCCAGCTTGCCATGGAATTCAGGGGAGGGGTTGAAGTCCGGGTGTCTTAAAGTTGCCACGGTTGGGAAACCTGAAAAAGGAAAAGAAACGGCAGATAACTTCTGCCAAAGGTAAAAGCTCTTGAGTTCTCCTCAGCTCATGCTTCACCCCACTGGTCATTCATCGAAAATTGATTGTCATTCCTTCCAACGGATCTTGCTGAATCAGGCCCAAAGTCCCTAAAATCTAGCTAGTATCCTGTATTTAACCATCCTAAACATGGTGTTTTAAAAGAACTTGTTTTTCTTCGCAGTTTCACATGCAGCTACTATCACCAGAAATGGTCTTCCGTTTTTTGTCACAGGAAGTTCAAAATTCACCAAGTCATTGTCTGCCTGTATTGTTATTTGTCCTAAAAAAAACAACTGGATGCTTTTCTTGGAGAACAATTTCATGGAATTTTTTAAAAAGCAGGCTTTTCTAACCATGGTTTCAGCCATTAAAGTCTGCAGCATTGTTTTTTCATCAAAGAATAGAGATAGGTAGTTTGAGAAAACAGCGGGGGGGACAACAATGGAGTTCAATCGTATCAAACAACTTGTTCTTGCTTTGTTCTTAAAATGTGAATTTGATCCCTAGGGAGGTCAAAGAAGTTAAGAGGGAATCCTGGATTGGGTAAATGAAGCCCCACCCTCTTTATCTGATGCATTTAAAGGTGTGGAGTTTTAGTGGTGGTCATTGCAGCTGTTGTTTTTTAAATAATGTTATTAAAGTTTATAACTTCAGTAATAAAAACTGATGCTAACTGAAAAACGAAATAAAAGAATAAAAAGTGCAAGGACAGAAATAATGTAGAGCACAGAAAGAAAAAAGGAGGAAATATATAAAGAAGTGGCTTCCAAACTTCATTACAAATATAAACAACAACTTTTTCTATTTTCCTATGGTAGCCAGAAGGCTTTAGATACTTTGTGACTCAACAGGATCCCTTTCACATAGGTAGTAAAGCTTTCCAGTAGGGTTGTGTGCATGCAGACATGTGGTGGTATCTATCACATTTGTGGAAGAGACAGTATCAAATGAGAAAGGTGCAAAATATACCGGTTGCTGTGCTGCAGGTAGTCCTCAAATTACAACAACAAGAACAATAATAATAAGTTGGAAGGGACCTTAGAGATCAGCTAGTCCAACCCCTTGCTCAGGCAGGAAACCCTATGCCATTTCAGAAATGGCTGTCCAGTCTCTTCTTAAAAACCAAACCAAAAACCATTTATTTAATGACTACTTCAAATTAAATGGATCTGGAAAAAGTGGCTTACGACTTGGTCCACACACTTATGACCATTGCGGTCACAAAATCAAAATCTGGTGTTTGACAACCAGTATCTATTTACAACAGTTGCAGCATCCCAGAGTCATATGAATTTGAGACCTTCCAAGCTGGCTTCTGACAAGCTAAGTCAGTGAGGGAAGCCGGATTCAAAATTAACACACCATGGCAACAAAGTTTGTAAAATGGGGTTCGACTCATTTAACCACCGCCTTGGTTAGCAATGAAAATTCTGGTCCCTATTGTGGTCATAAGTTGAGGACTACCTGTATAACAGAAAACCCTTTCCCCAATGTTACTCTTTGGTTCATTGGATACATGGAGAGAGCACAAAAGTCATATTTCCCTCCATGAACGGTTGAGTTTGTTTTCTCTTGATCCTCAGCTACCACATTAATCTTGTCTTTTACCTCAAAATATCAGGGATTTTCCTTTCTTTACCTCAGTGAGAATGAAATCATTGTTGAACTTTAAAATCTAAATTAAGCCATATCCTTTTTACTAAATATATTTAACCCTTCTGGTGGCGCAGTGGTTAAAAAGCAGTATTGCAGGTCAACTCTGCCCAGAGTCTACAGTTCAATTCTGACTTGTTCAAGGTTGACTCAGCCTTCCATCCTTCCGAGATCAGTAAAACGACGACCCAGATTGTTGGGAACAATATGTTGACTTTGTGAACCACTTAGAGAGGGCTGTAGAGCACTGCGAAGCGGTATATAAGTCTTAATGCTATTGCTATGTTTGCAAATGCTGCTTCATATTTAATACCTAGTGCAGGGGTGTCAAACTGCCGGCCCGCAGGCCAGACGTGTCATCCGGAAGCCGCACCCACCCCATTGCCAGCAATGGTAAAATCGGCCTGATACGTTGCGCGACGTCATGTGACGTCGCGCATTTGACATGTCTGACCTAGTGCAATTGCATACTTTATATTTATCAAGCATGTTAAGGGATCTAGAAAAAAAAAGGGACAAAGTCTGTAGGAAAGTATTGTAACTTTGTCATCACCCCACAGCCATATGTCCCAAAGAAAGGGACAAGTGAACTCTATATTCCAGAATTTATCTAAATACCTAAATTAAATTGGTCGCATTAATCTTGCTTGTTCTGAATTTTGATTAAAAAATGAATAGGTTTGAAGACAGAGGCCACCATCAAAGCAATAGTCAATTTCCAAGGGAAATAGCAACAAAATAGAATAGAATTATTGATGCAACTGAAATTGTTTTTATATAAGAGAAACTTGGTGAGGTTTAAGCTAGAAACGGGGTGCTATTTTTTATTGTTTTTAATTAAGATGCCTCCATGATCCTTCCCCTGCCTCATTCTCTGAACACACATCCATTTAGCGACTGTTCCAAGTTACGAGGACGCTGAAAAAGTGACATGACCACTTTTCACACTTAACAATTGTTGCAGCGTCCTCATGATGCCTGATCAAGACTTAGATGCTTGGCAACTGACTCATATTTGTAACGGTTGCAGTGTCCTGGGTTCATGTGATCCCCTTTTGCAACCTTCTGACAAGCAATGTCAATGGGAAAGTCAGATTCATTTAACAACCCTGTTATTAACTTAACAGCTGTAGTAATTCACTTAACAACTATGGCAAGAAAGGTCGTAAAATGGAGCAAAATTCACTTAACAACTGTCTCATTTAGCAATAGAAATTTGGGGATCAATTATTGTCATAAGTCAGGGGTAGGCAACCTTGGCTCTTTTATGACTCGTGGACTTCAACTCCCAGAATTCCTGAACCAGCTCAGGAATTCTGGGAGTTGAAGTCCACAAGTCATAAAAGAGCCAAAGTTGCCTACCCCTGTCATAAGTCAAGGACTACCTGTAACTTGAATGTTCTTTTTCAATGTCCTTGAAAGATTATCAAGCCAGCCAGCTCAAGATCCCTACAGAAATATAAGAGTGAGATGCTGCATAGCCAAGAACAAAAGAATTCCCAAGTAATGTTATAGGTCAGGGGTCTTCAAACTTGGCCCTTTTATGATTTGTAGACTTCAACTCCCAGAATTCTTCAGCCAGCATGCCTGGCTGAGGAATTCTGGGAGTTGAAGTCCATAAGTCATAAAAGGGCAAGTTTGAAGATCCCTGGTATAGGTTCTCCTGCTTGAGCAAGGGGTTGGACTAGAAAACCTCTGAGGTCCCTTACAACTCTTCTGTTATTCTGACCCCAAATGAGCTGCTTGAAGATCTTGGATCAGGTGATGTAGCCAAACTGAATTTACCATGCAATTTGGATCCCGATCTCCGTGAATAATGCACTTTCTAGCTATCATAAGGGACCTTAAGACCAAGGTTAGAGTTAAGCTTTTGGTCTTCAGATCTATTCAAGAACAGGTCTATGGAATGTCTATGCAGTGTTTCTCAACCTTGACAATTTTAAGGCATGTGGACTTCAACTCCAAGAATTCCACAGCCAGCAATGCTGGCTGTGGAATTCTGGGAGTTGAAGTCCACATGCCTTAAAATTGTCAAGGTTGAGAAACACTGGTCTCTGGAGATTCTCAATCCTCCTTGTCCCAAAGGTGCTTTCCCAAAAGGCAGTTGGTTTTCTCCTTGAAAACATTTTGCTTCTCATTCAAGAAGCTTCTTCTGTTCTCCTGAAGTTCTTCAGTTCTTCTGCTAACTACCAGATGACTGCAAAGAATATCAATCTCCTTCCATTCCCCCACGATTCAGTTAGAACTTCTTGGATGAGAAGTGAAACATTTTCAAGGAAAAATACCTAAGAAAGTCCAGTTGCCGTCTGGAAAAGCATCTTTGGGGCAGGTCTATTTAATGTTTTCCTAGGGCAGAGAACGTAGCAATTAGACATCAGCCAACTCTCTTTATGCGCTCTGTGTCCTCTGCAGTCAAAACCTTCTAGAACAGTGGTTCTCAACCTTTTTAATGCCGTGACCCCCCAACCGGTCGTAAGTCGAGGACTAAACCAGTCGTAAGTCGAGGACTAAACCAGTCGTAAGTCGAGGACTACCCAACCGGTCGTAAGTCGAGGACTTTCCCTGCCTGGGAGCACCGCGCATGCGTGGTGCCACCCTCTGCGCCGGCCGAGGCGTAGCTGGCAAGCGGCAGAGACAGAGCAGGCCGACCACCGGCTGGGCCACCAGCTGGCCCAGCCCAAGGGAGGTAAGGCACTGCCGGAAAAGGGAGAAAAAAATGGCAGACAGCCTTGCTTGGCGACCCCCATGAAATGGTCGATCAGCCCCAAATGGGGTCACGACACATAGGTAGAACGTGTGTCCTTGATTAATCCAAACCATCCCAAAAAATGTGTTGTTTCTAAATAACTGAGAAAGCACAATATCTATAAATGCCTATGTTGCGAGTTTTGCATCACAAAAATGCTATGTATGTCATGTGTTGAAATCCTACTGTGGTCTTTGGTGCCTATTAAAATCTACTTCAGCAAATGCCCGTGAATCTAGCACTGTGAATGGTCCCAACTTGGTATATATATATTAAAGCTCGAATAAAGATTGCCACATAATAAAGAACCACGACTAATTGTCTTATTTTAGCTAAAGCTGTTATGAGACTGAGATTCAGCTCAGCAGCACTCTCTGTGTGGAACACTGAAAGCAGGAGAAAGCACCCATGTGTTGGTTTGTATCCCACCTGTATTATTTTTATTCAAGGTGCAAAACATATCCAGTATACCTTCTTCCTCCTATTTTCCCCACAACCACCACCTTGTGAGGTGGGTTGGGCTGAGAAGGAGTGACTGGCTTTCATGGCTAAGGCGGGATAATCATAAGTCATAATCTCCTAGTGATTGGCCCAAAACCATCCAGCTGGCTTTCATGGTCAAGATGGGACTCGAACTCACGGTCTCCTGCTTTCCAGACTGTTGCCTTAATCCAGGGGTCTTCAAACTTGGCCCTTTTATGACTTGTGGACTTCAGCTCCCAGAATTCCTCAGCCAGCCCTGGCTGGCTGAGGAATTCTGGGAGTTGAAGTCCACAATCTTAAAGTTGCCAAGTTGGGAGATCCCTGCCTTAATCACTAGACCAAACTGGCTCTCTGAGCTAGAATAAAGATTTCACATAATAAAGAACCACGACCAATTGTCTTACTTGAATGTAGTGTTAAAGGGATTGATTAACCATTAAAGATATTCTTAACAGTGTATCCTTGTAAGTTGGTTATGTAATTGACTGCATAGTGTAGTCCCTTCTTAAGGCAAAACTTCACCTTACCTTCTAGCTCATTTTTTTCTCTAGAAGGCAACTGAGATTTTTAAAAAATCTCCATTTTACTCTCCCAATCTCAAACCTCAAATGGGCTGAAAGAGTTGATGGAGGCTGGTCTTCTTCACCGTCTTAGTGGAACATCCTAACCTCTAAAGCTACCCTGATCCTATTGTGAAATCTAATGAAAGCATCTACTTTAAATCTCATTAAAGTAACTCGGTCCTACAAGTCACTGGACAGGGACAGACCCAGCGGTTTTCAAAAAGCTGGGTAGAGATGTACCTCCGGTTTATGTGA